CACACACACACACAACCACATTAATACTTCTCAAAACAGAGAAGTTGAAGCCAAGTTCGAATGTTTTTGAACTCTGGGTGAACTACTTTTATCTCCTCCCACAAAGCAGAGGATGTGTGGCAGCCCTCTGTTGTTTTCATGCACTACTGTTGGCCTCGCATCCCTCAAGCTCTACCCATGTGCTGGCAGCTAACAGAAACAGACACTGCGGTTGAGGCCAATCGGATATCAGTGCCACTGTGACTGTGGACTCATGCTAATATTAGTCAATACAGCAAAATATGCTGTTTTTGTAAAGTATTTTCTGACAATAAATATTTGTTAACTTGAATAGAAGTCATTCTCTGGTCAGTATGGCCTGTTTCCACTTGCACAGCTGGGAAGGGTATTGAAACACACTGACTCACCAACAGAGGTGGGCATCTCTCCCCACTGCAAGACCACGTCCTTGGTGATTCTGCCGTAGGTGTTGACATAAACGCCCTCATCTTCATAACACAGCAGCATCTCCATGCCATCAGTCTTAGGAAGCACCACGATGGCATGAGGGGTCACGCTGCTCTGGATCTTAAACAGAGAAGAAGGGGTTACTGGCAGATCATGATGCCGTGCTTAAGGAGACCATTAGATGGCCATGTATTCCATTTACATTTATTCATTCAAGGAATCATTGTTTACCAAAGGGAATCTATGGAAGTATAGTATTTCATACAAAAAGCTTATTAAAGTACACTAATAATTGCATTTTGGTGGCTGCGATTTACCATGTTGTATATTTAAGCAGTGAGTATTTCAATTTATATTATTATGTATTACATTTCAACTGACATTATTATATGGCATTTTACATGTATAACCTATCTATCTATCTGTAAATATACATTCATTATCTGAACATAGTATACAGTATGTAGTATATGAACATAGGCAGAAGCTCGATTTCTGTATTTCTCAAAGCTCCTGAAATCATCCTTACACTTTTCACACTTTCAAGTGCTGTGAAGGGAACATAACGTGTGGAGGCATATGTTATTTCACTAAGATTAGACTACAATCCCCAAGAGAAACGCTGCCAAGGGAACCTCTCAACCAATCAAGAGGATGTTGCTTATGACCGGCTCCCTTACCTAGAAGCACAACTAAATTGTGTTTTTACAGACACCAAATCACAGCCTAGTATCACAAACTAAAACCAAAGGTCTGCACTGCTACTTAATTTGTAGTTATAGAGGAGCTGTATTGTAAATTTATTAGCAACAAAAATGGATTCAGTATTTCTATGAGGTTAATTTAAAAACACATCACGTACATGTGATGGTATGTAGATGTCATAAGGGTTTCCAGAATCCACATCTATGACGTGAAAGCCCACACTAGAGCCATAGATGACCTTTAACCTCTGACCCTCTTCTACTGTCAGGTCCACCAGCTGAGGCCTGTGTTGCAGTTCTGTGAACGACTGCCAGAAACAAAGAGATACAGATACAGAAATGGATGCGGAGTCTAGGGAACTGATTAAATAGGCAGTTAATGCATGCAAACCTTTAAGGCATTTTCTTTCATTGACAAATTATATTATTACATGTTAGTTAAATAGCAAGAAAGAAATGCAGAGAGCATTTAAAAGATAAGCAAACACCATCATACCTTGAATGCCATGAATTTATGGTATGGCTTGGGGGCCCATGCATAAATCTCTACAGAGTTCTTCAGTGCGATCACCAGGAATTTGATTCTCTCATATTTCACTGAAAACAAAGTAAATCATGCTTTCAGTTACCTGCAGCTCACAGTGGCAGTCTGTCATATTCATACAATGAAGCAGACCGTCCCCCGCTGCTACTCTCCATGCTGTTAGAGGCGAGCTGAATGTCAATCCTTTCAATTAGCATCAGAAATCTCGATTAGCCTACTCAACCGCCTCCGTCTTAACAGCCTCTGCTCTAACAGGGAAGCCTTCATCTTTCAACTTTGCTTCATTCTGCACGCTCAGAAAATGCAGCTTCACATCGTCTAACATGCTGCTAATATTTATATTAATATGTAATGTTGCTAATAAAACAATATAAATACAAAAAAATAAACATTTAAAACAGGTTCACATTGTACTCCATGAAGATGCTACTATTTATATTCATATATAATATTGTTAATAAAATATAAATACAATAAAGTAAAAAATTAAATACAGGCTCACCAATATGCTGTTAGTATTTATAATAATATATAATGTTGCTAATAAAATATTTAAAAAAAATTTAAAATAAATTAAACATTTAATATTTTAACATTTTTGTTGATGATAATATGAAGTCGCTGATATTTATGAAACAGCAATACAGACAATTAAAAGAGAAAACTCACTGACTCAAACTCTCTTAACCTTTATTCTTTATTACTGAATAAAATTTTTTGAATACTTACTTTATGCCACAGTGTTAATCTAATTTATTAATATTTACATTACAAATTAACTTAAATTCAGGTGTTTTATTTGGATAGTAGTTGCAACCCACTGGCATTGATATAAAACACTTTTGTATTTTTGTGATAACTCAAGCAGAGACGGATGACTTACCAACTTTATAGTGAATACAGCCTTCCAGATCCCCAACAGTGATCCAGCCCTGTTTCTTCTCTACCTCCGGATCATTGTGCAGTATCCTGTTTCTCAGCCATGACAAGTAGTAGACACGTAGCTTGTTTTTCTTCCCTGCAAACATCAATGACAAGTCTGACATGTTAATAAAACACGAACATGTATCCCCAAACGACGCACCAGGCTTTTTTAGCTGAAAAAAGCACTATGCTTAAAAAAGTGGACTTAAAAGTCATCTGACTGCAGCACATGACACTGAAATGTCAGCTTCGATGACCTTGTCTATCTTTATTTGTAGCGAGACCAACCTGATATGGTGACCAGGACATTTAGACCCTCTAGCACCTCCATCTGTTGGAAGCGTCGGCGAGTGATGAGGTTATACACCTTGCCCTGACCGCTGCGGTCCAGCAGCATTAAACCGTTCTCAGTGCCCACCAAGAGGTTCACACCTGAGCGTCCACAAACACGAAACACAAGACTTCTCAGAATTGGATTCTGACTCAAGAATGTATATGAGAGGAGGAATTGAAACAAAAAAGGCAGTGATGTACCCCATAGAGCAGCACACAGGATCTCTGAGTTGAAGCGCTTCTTGTACTTGCGGATCTCTGGGGTGTCGCTGTGAGGTCTGAT